TAATAGATAATAGATTGCATTTGTATAGCACATATCCCGCTCAGCAGCAGGCTCTATGCGCTTTACGCTATATTATTATTACCCCAACAGATCATAGAACACTCCGAAACATTCTCAGTTTCCCGGGAAGCATAAATACCAAACAAGTTAAGGAACGAGTGAGTGATTGAGTGATAATAATTTGGTATGGTTGTAAATCTCCTTCCTTATCTTTTCTTAAACACGAGTAACCATCTCCGATAAGACAGAGGCAAATGAGTGGAGATTCTTGAAAACTTTCTGTACGGATGTCGAAACAGGGTTATCAACGCTAGGAACCAGCATGATATCAACAGGGTAGATGGGGCTCTCAATATATTTTTAAGGGGGGGGGGGTGGCTACACTTGAAGGCTATATCCCTTGTTGGCGTCAAAGTTTAACAAATTTCACAGATATTATAATAAGCATAGTAAAGAGTCTTCTAATCGGCTATAAATTTTAGAAAAAAATGTTTCGTTGCAATGCTAACGGCGCCGTATTGGATTTTGTTGATATGTCTTATACAGTCAATACCGCAATTATTTTCAATGGAAATAGGTTGTTATTTTGCGTGCACGTCAGCAATCAATAGTTTAACAAAAGGTATTTTGAATTTTTCGTAAACATATCAGATTTTTAATGAATTTTTTTTGAGGTTGTAAAAAATAAATGAAAGTCCAAATACCACCAACAAAAATGTATTTCATATATTGAATGTTCCGTTCAAAGGAACATTTTATAGTGTCCCATCTTCTCTTCATTCTGTGAACAGGTTTTGAACATTGAATCAAAATGGTGGAGCTATTCAAAAAGTATATACTTTACTTTACTTTTCCGATCCAGCGGCCATTTGGGTTCTAACCCTTCGGTCTGTCAAAAAGTATATAAAAATACCTTATTTAGAGAAAATGGACGGTACAGAAAAAGAGAGACTTTATGTTGATACGGTGGTGAACAATATGCCTAATATGTGACACAATAAAACTTCAGGGGTTTCTGATGTGATGAAATAGTTGTAAGAGGGGCTGAAGAAGCCAAAAAAATGCCTACATCTCAAAATCCATAATTTTGACCTGAATCGGGACTTTCAGGTTTAGACCCCCCCCCCCCTCATCCAAAGATTTTAGGCCCCCTTGTATTCAGAAACAAATCGTCTTCAAAGTAAGATCCGATCCGATCCACACTGTGGGTTTCAGTGGTCGAGCGGTTAATGAGTTCAGGCTCATGAAAAATGCCATACAATGTAGGACACACGGCGTTCAGGGTGGGTGGTCACTAGGATGTACTTTTTGATGGAGAGAAAGTAAACCTTGCTCAAAAACATATTTATTTTGATTTTGCTGTAACTGTGTTTTACTATGTACTGTATGAAAATGATGTAACATTGGAATTGTTTCATGTGTAGTTTTAATTGCTACTGTAAACAAATTCCCCGTTGTGGGTCAATAAAAGTGCTGAATTATAAATTCATCATTAACTTATGTGTTTTATTTCGTGTCCCAGGCCCTCTGTTGACAGGTCTACGTAAAAGTAAGTTGGGCAGGTGACGAAGCAATTGCTGAGAAAAGTTAATATGTCCTACCTCATCACATGAAATGTTGTGACGCAGAAGAGGCACCCTGCCAGTGTTATAGTTTCCCTACCACCCGATCATCTGTATTCCCCGCCGACTCGGGTTTTTGGTGAACAAATGAGACAGCTGCTCACTGCACGATGTTTTTTTTAAATAGTCCCGCCAATATGCATATAAGAAAATAAATGTGTAACCATAGTCATGCTATAATGTCAGACACGAACATTTACCCTCAGCCCTACATATATATGATACTTTCCAGAGTCTATCGATAAAGGTCAAGTTGAGGTTTCCCTTCCTAAAATAGGTTAAATCGTCTTTCGCTCATGACGTCATTGTTACTCCCATGTTGCCCCATGGAGAGTGAAGACCAAGGTTGTGCGGAGCAGCTCAAGTAAGACAGTCCCGAAAAGAGACCTCACCTAGACCTTTACAGGTTTCTCTCCTTTACCATTTGCCTTTTTGTTTTTGCTTTTTCCTTCATTATGACGACTACTCTGAGACTTTTGTCTTCAAAATGAAGTGTTCGTGTGTGCCAAAGACTAAAGGGTGAAAAGATAAGTTGGTGTTTGTGAGAGCACCCTCAACCGCCTAAACAATGTGTGGACGTAAGGAAAGATTTACAGTCAACTTGTTTTTAGGCCAATGTTATCAAAACATCAAATTTCCTAAACAGGTAGAGCACTAAAAAGACCGTTCACTCTCTTTTGAGAAACGTCAAGAAAATTAGAGGCACATTTTTATAGGTGTCACGTTCGGCGCCGATAACTTTTCTTTTTTGCTTTTCAGACAGAAGTTCTTTAATTTAAAAGTTGCTTTTACTCTTTTCGTACAAGATAAGTTACTTCATAAAAACAATATCTATCGCGTAATGATAATATTGTCACCACGGCCGTAGACTTGAATTATGATAATGATATACTAAAGTACAAAATTATGATCTATACCACAGGCATTTTTAGGAATTTTTTAAAAAGCTACTTCCAGGTAGAGGAATGGCCCATCCTGTAAGGACTAATCTTTGGTTCTACACATGGAACATAATATCCGTGGGATCCTCTTTGATTACGAAAAGGTCAGAAAGGTCTTCCTTCCTAGAATTTACAACGTAGGTTTACGGTACGTGGGAGGGGAGACGACGAAGGTGCAGCCTTCCTTCGACAATAACAACACTGATTAATTTTTTTCCTCAAACAACGCTGTTTCAGAACATGGCTCAAGAATGCAGCATCGTTGAAAAGCAAACAGGTGTGCGCAAACATACGCTCAGAAATATGTGTCAAAAATAGAAAGCAAATACCGGTGACATCATTTATGGGCCCACAAACATCGTAGGCTGACTGCTGAATTTTCCCATCATAAACTTCATATTAGATAACGAAAAAAGGCCTCTAAAAATTGTGCCGGTCTCAGTAGTCGTCTCTGGTTGGATGGTTCTCTGTGTGGTTTGTCCTGTCTACTTCATTTCGTGTTACTTTAGAACATTGGCCAAGCGAATTCTGACCGCTGTCAGGTTAATTTTTGGTGACAGTGCAAGAAACCTATAACTTTGGGTAAAAGTGCACCCGTGCCCTACACTCGTCAAAACTTACTCGACCTATCCCTCATATCCCGATACTCTGTTATCTGTGGGGCAACATGTGAATCGCCGTGATGAAATGCAAAAAAGACGGTTTTTTTTACAAGACCTGAGGGATCAAGTAGACCTTTACCTAACTTTGAAATACCGTATGATGTTTACCACCGGTTTCTTGTAGAGATCATGTTGGTCAAGATGGGTTTACCTGTCTCATTACAACAACAACAACAACAACAACAACAACACAACATCAGCAGCAATAACAACAACAGCGCTGCCAGGTCCAGGCCGCCAAATAACATGAAAGTGCGTGCACCCAGATAAAACTTATCACAAAAGACCCTCCGATATCTCACATGCCGACAAAGGAAATATACAAGGCCATTTCCTTAAAACCAGAGGCTCAAATTAAGTCCTGCAGTGACCAGTCACTGCTGGAAAAAATCAGGACGGGTCACTGCTCTGGGCGGGCCTCCAAAAATAGAATAGACAAAACATC